TTTTTATTATAGATACTTATAAAATTTTATAATCACAATGTTGCCGCATATTTAATGATCCCTAATATATACCCCCATCATATTGTTTTAAAGAATTATTTTTAAGATTTCAACAGAAACATTTCAATAATATTTTATTAGCAAATATTTGAAAATTATTAACACTTTGTAAATTTTATCATATAAATATTCACATTTGCAATGTTGAAACATATATTACAATTTCATTATTTAAGTTTGTATCATAATAAATTTATGTATGATGCTTTTTATATTATCCTAGAATTATACTTACATTTATGAATTTCAGTTACAATTTCTTGACAATTTTTGAGGTTTTCACAATTAAATATAAAAAATAAATTTCTTTATAGTATTTCTTTTGTAAATAATGCATATAAACAGTAAATATTAATTTAAAAATAATTTTTAAATATGTACTATTTTTTCTTTTATTTTACTACTTTACAAATGATGTTTTTTGTGTATATCCCCAAATTATATTTTATTTTCATTGATATTACAGTCTAAATACGAGTACAAAGCAATTTGTATTACAAATACATCTGTTGCAGCGATATTTAACATTATAAACGTTAAATATCTAGCGCTATAATTTGCAATATATGTAATTCATAGCGCCTTTCTAATTTACTTTTCAATTTTTATTACGCAATTTCCAGTGCTATCAATATTTTACAAAATAAAAGTATTTTTTCGATAAAAACTCAAAGCATTTCTATATTAAAGGAGCGAGAGAGAAAACACTAAAGCGTGCGAGAGAGACAGCTACTGTTTGACGATGAGATCATCATGCTCTCCCCTTTCTTCGTCGCCCCTCGCCAATAAGCTGTTTCTAGCTCACCCCTTACTTCGTCGCCCCTCGCCTACAAGCTGTTTCTAACTCCCCGCTTACTTCGTCGTCCCTCGCCTACAAGCTGTTCTAGCTCCCCCCTTACTTCGTCGCCCCTCGCCTACAAGCTGTTTTAGCTCCCCCCCTTACTTCATCGTCCCTCACCCACAACCGGTTTGCCTGAGGTAACCTTCTCTCTATAGATCTTGGGGCAGCATGGGTGTAAGGTTGAGAAAGAATGCCCCATATATATATACATTTTACGACCGATATTATATAAATGTTAATTAATATCATCAAAGCTGCGAGCTGACAGGTCTGTGCGCCGCCATATTAGAAATTAGAAAAGGAAAGACGTCTTTTAGAAAAAGAAATCTGAACGCATTAGTTGAGTGCGTTCTGATTGGTTGCGTGCTGACGACGCTGACCAATAAGACATGCGTTACATTTCAGCGTTACATTTTAGCGTGACATCCGAGAAAAATGATGATTTTTAGATTTCTCGACTTTGGATGCATATATTTTATTTTTTAAAGCACACAGAGCAAAAACAAGCATACTTTCCTTATATATCTTAGGTATGCGCTTTCGATTGAGCCTATTACCAATTCAATCGGCCCAGCCGTTATTGAGATCCGATAATCTCGGCTCATCTAAACCTTCCGTCTCGCGTAAAGATACACGGTCGGTCTTGCGCTTGCGTTGCGCGCTGCGCGTGAACTTGGCGCGAGACACTACCGTGTCTCTTGATACACGGTCGGTCTTGCGCTTGCGTTGCGCGCTGCGCGTGAACTTGGCGCGAGACACTGCCGTGTCTCTTGATAAGCATGTATAAGCACGGCAAAAGCACGACAAAGCATATAAGATATTTTATTAAAAAATAAAAATTTTCCAGGGAATAATAGAATAATAAAATTATGTGGAATGTTCTAAGAGTTTCTATAAAATATATTTTGGATATTTTTTATACATTTTGAGAAAAAAATTCTGAAAGTGAAATAGTGAATATCATGTGTTATGTTACGGTTTTCTCGTTGAATAAAATTTAAGGTTACGTACGACTCTAAGTTTACGGTCAGTACTTAATGCGACGTAACGGAGAAGCTTGTGCGGTGGCCCTTTTTTTTTTGTTTTTGTTTTTTTTGATGAGGCAGGGGAAATCCTTTATGGATACCCACAGGTCCCGGGGGGGAATCCCGTGGGTTATGTGGGAGTCTCCTGGGAAGATGTCTCAGGCATACCCACTAAAACCCCTGCCGATAGCCTTCCTGAACCATGTAGAGGGAGGGTGAGGCATCACCAGCGGTATTTATCTCACCCTCCCTCAGGTCTGACCGAAAAACCGGTCTCCTCGCGGGGAGGGATGGGGACTTGCGTCCCCTTTCCCTTCCATGAGTACCTTCTATTCCGGGAAAGGCCGGGCTACCGTGACCTTTCCTCGCCCTCCCGTGTTTGGTGGGAGGCTGAGGCCAGCCGGGAGCCACCGCTCCCAACTGACCCCCCGCCGGAGGAGAGATAGAATTCCGATAAGCCTACGGTATCTCCCCTCCAGCCATCCAAGTTGGAGGGACCTTGTATGGATCCCTCCCAGGGGGGAATCTTCCCCGGGGGTCGATGGTGACGCGCTTGATGGTGCATGCCACCGCCTGGGGAGGCCCTGTATTTATCTGCCCCCTTGGGGGCGGGGAGGTTGTGTTGGCGGTGGCAGAGGAGGGGGATCATCCCCTCCCCCCACCGCCTCCCCCTTCTCTCTCTCTCCGCCACCTCCTTCTGCAACATTACTCTGTCACAGAAGGAGGAGACGGCCCTCCATTTATCCTCTCCCTCCAGCATAGTTCTCTATGTTATATTCTC